AATGACGTAACTTTGTAATCACGGAGTGCCTCGTTCTGCCATGACGACCGCCGCCAAGCGATAAGTGCACTTCAGGGTTTGATAGTGAATATGTGTCAGCAGATGTTACCGACGTGCGACGGATTAAAATTGAAGCCAAGTGCTAAACAGCGGGAGTAGAAAGTTCGGTCCGTATTATTTTCCCAGCCTCTGCCGCTCGTCACTTCTCGCGACTTTCATTTATTTCAGATAAAGCGCGTTTCGACTTACCGTCTCAGAGCTTAACAGACATAATCGTAAATCGAAGATTGTTGACAATGCAGATATTAATATTCTTGGATTGTATTAAGTGTCTATAAAAATAATTGCACATCTCAGTTACGTCTCTATTTTCTGTCACGTGACAACTGTTTTACAGTAAACCGTCTTAACGTCGCATGGAAGATACGATAAATGCATACGTGAAGGAAAGAGTCTACTTGAGAGACCGAGGCACAGATGGAACGATAATATTAAAGCGTAGCTTTGACAAATAGGGTGTGGCTCAACATGGAGTCCATCATTGGCGGGATCTTATTAGCCCGGTTATAAACGTGAGTGTCCCACAAATGGCAAGGCATGTCTTATGTCTCTAAACTTCCAATGGTACGTTCAAATCTTCTTAGTGTGTGTGTGTGTGGGGGGTCCTAAAAGTGCGAAGTCTCCCTTTTAAAGTAGCTCTGACTGTTTGTCTGAAGCTGTCTAGATAGGCATCAGTAGATTCATCCAGTAGCATCGCCTCCTTAAAGAGTTCCGACCACTTGAACCACAGGAGTTGATGACTGACAGGCGATACCGCCGACCGGTAGAACAAGACTGTGGTCATTTATTTCAGAATGTTTTGTATTCTTGTCCGTCATGTCAGTACGAAGGCATAATGACGTGTGACGTCTAAGCCCCAAGGAAACTCTGTGTGTCTCGATCCTCGGACTGTCTGTGCCTCAGATCCAGACAGAAGCAGAGGGAGCATTTTGCGATCGTTTGCGCAGTCGTAGGCCTGTTTCATTTTCGTGATTCTGAGAAAGACATTATGACATTACGCCCTGGTAAATCTCTGGCCTATCGTCGTGTACAAATTTAAATGCCCAAACATTGACTTATGACAGACCCGGTGACCTTGTACCCCACTGAGCCATCAAAATCGGACGTTTGTGTGTAAAGCAAAGTTTAAACAGTCTTTCTGCATACATCTTTCTGCATATTGGTAGAGGCGGGATATCTTGTTTTTCCATAGGCAGGTTCTCCACCGTTTACCTTCGTTAAAAAGCGAAGTTCGAAGAAGCCTAAGTTCTAGCTAAGTGTATTTCAAAGTTGTCAGATCTTTTTACTAGAATTTCGTATGAATTTCTGATCCATGCTATATGTCCCGCCCATCTCAACCCCCCCCCCCCCCCCCCCCAAAAAAACGCCTTAAATAATATTAGGTGAAGAGTTGTAACATGTTGCCATTACATCATAAAACTTACTCAGATTGATCGGACATCTTAAGTCCGACCTGCAAATCAAAGTATCTGCTTTAACAGACCATAATCTAAGTCCTGCCGGTAATAAATACATTTCTTCCTCGTCATTACCGAAGTTCATTAAAACAAAAATTCAAGCTTTGTGGTTTCGGAGAAAAATACAATTTTTCGTCGCCTCCAATGCTTCCATTATTAAAATATAATTTTTGCTCTATCAGCGGAGGTTTGCGGGACACGGCATGACCTCTGGGCGGTCACCCCACGATATACGAGTAGTAAAGGACATCATTTAACCAGTTTTCTTCCCCAGGAAACGTCTCTGGACTCATCCTTTACAGGAACAATGCAATGCACTTCAACGAGTGGGCGAAAAGAATATTCAGCCCTGAAGATGGAGACAGTGTGTTTTCCCGAAACGCTGGTGTCGACCTACGAGTCTATATGACGTCACAGCTCAGAAGACAAAAATACATACAAGTTCTCACAACCGTGAGAACCTCAGATTACGTGTAGGATGTACAGAAGACTGAGGTTCCTTAAACAGGAACCTAATTATTTAAATATGTACTAATGTACGGGTGTGAAACTTGGTCTGTAATCCTAAGAAGAGGACAAAGATTGCAAGGGACAGGAAGTAACAGGAAAACAGAGAAAAATGCGCAATGAGGAACTTCGTCGCGTGCTGTTCGCCAAATATTTTTACGGTGATAAGATAAAAGATGATCCATGGGGACCTCATACAAAATTTCTAATCAAGAAACGCGTTCCTGTTTCGGATAATAAATCGCTATTAGGAGCGACACAAAACATCTGACCAAAGAAACTGAAATGTCTGTCGAAACTCAGCACAAATTGTAGTCACTTTCTCTCGCACTTTTTTGTTCCCTGAACCTGTTTCCACTCCTGTCATCTTGACGCCTTGTTCAGTACGCACAGCATTGTTATTCGCCGTGGCATCTGACAAACTGATATAATTAACACGCAGAAGTATTCGACTTTTTTTTAGAAGAAATTTCTGCCTGAGGCGACGCATCAAACGAAAGTGCGTCGCTCCGTCAGCGCGGATTTGCAGCTGAAGGCGAGTCTTGTAGGCCGGTTGTGTGTTTGGCGGGCGTCCGTCTCTCAGACCGCCCACAGAGAACACGAGGTTACCAGAGACAAAAAGTGTCTCTTGATTTCCTGTTTTCTTAACATCCATTTTAATAATATCATCCCGTGTACGCCTAGGTTTTCCAAGAAGAGCTTTTCGCATTTTTCACGCCGCACATGCGTACTACATGCCCCGCCCGTCTCATCCCATTCATTCGACCACGCTGATAACACTTCATGAAGTTCCTCAAAGTGTAGTTTTCTCCTTTCTCCCCCTTCCCCTCATGCCCTTATATTCCCTCCAGCTCCATTTTGACACCCTTAGGCTAGTCCTTCTTGCTCCCGTAGGATGAGAGACCAAGTTGAATTCTAAATTTTGACTTCAGCCATCTTTGAACGTTGGAAGTGGCTGTTAACGTTCGTTACCGACCGATTCGCCGAGGAACACACTGGAGGGTGCACAAAGCACGCGCAGAAGGGTGAGGCACGTTATTGATTAGAGGCATTGTTCGCCGCCATTATCGTCCAGTCGGTGACAGAACTGGAACCAGATTTCGCCTTATAACAGAAGACTGCATAATACAACAGGTTCGTGCGTTTTACGACAGGGTAACAGCATTTTTACGTCACATATTAATAGCAGATGTTTCAGTCTCGTCAGGGTTAATTTGTCTCTAGGGTGCAGACTGAAGGGTGCGGCCTAAATGTCAGTGGATGATAAAGACAAGAAAGAAATTCACCCTAAATTGCTCAGCCAAATTAGCAGGTAACGTTAATGGGAGTGGCCTGTGTCAAGAAGAATGCAAGAAGATTGTTCGCGAAGCTGAGGTGTTGGGGATTCCTTCAGGTACAGATTTTAAGAAAGTTTCTTTTTTTAAATAAGCGTTGTTATCAACCAGAGCATCGCATCCATTTCATTCTCACACGTTTCTCCTGTTAGGTTACTGTTTTTTTAATTCGGAACGTAAGAAAATTTTAAGTAGCCTTTCAATCGGGTGTGACTGTCTTCATGCCCTGGTCCGAGTGAAGTGCGCGTATTTATTGAAATTACTGAAATGCAGTTTCAGAATTCTCTCTTGCTGACAGAGTACAGTTATGCTCAAGAGAAAATTCCACGTGTTAATAAAAGCCACGCACATTTAAGTTAGCCGATTAAAATGTGAAGTTGTCCCTGGTACTTAAGTAAGCACCTCGCCAATCAGGCGTGTGGGGAAGTGGAGGGATAGCTCCACGCATTTATAACCTCGGCTCTAGATGGAGATATGGACTCGGTGTCGACGCGAGAGAAACTGACGGGAATCGATCGCTGGTCGCTGAATCAATGGGAGATACAAGTACGTTTTTCAGTCACTGTAATAAGTTAACTTACGCCTAAGTACTTTCTTGTTCGGGCAGCCCGAATTTCAGGTGTTTGTGCCTTGCGTCAACGTGGTCCACATTTCTTCTTCTCTCAGTCCAAGAACTGCTTTCTCGTTGGACTCGAGGGCCTTCTGGCACTGTTCTTGAAAAGTAATGGCCAGTTCTCGTTATTTTTAACAAAGCATTACTGATAATTACCGTAGTGAACAAACACAAATGTTATTGACTTGTGCACAAATTACTACATAGTTACGTGTTATTTTAAAGTACCTCTTACAACAGACTGTGTATCTGACATAATTTTTGTCTGGCAGACTTACGTCTTACGGTATGGTTTTAAAGACAGTACCATATGTGGTGGTACCCGTACGTTAAGTATTAGACGATGTAAGAATCGAGATCTTTTTCCAGATCCTTCGGAGGGAAAAACGAGTAGTCAACAAATAATTTCGCGGGTCTGGTCACAAGTGGGCCCGCGGGTCGAAAGTTTGACCACGCTGTCTCAGTTTAAGCTGCAAAGGGGTAAATAGATCGTACACACCGAAGTAGGTAAACAATGAACCCCGTAATCACACTTACAGCACAGAAATACTGCAAGTAACGACTCATTACAGCCACAAACTCGCAGATGTGCTTCAAGAATTAACAAAAAAACTTACACGTAAAATAGGTTGCCTCAACAACGAAAGAAACTGGGGAGGAGAGGCTCTGGAGTAAACAGGTCACTCAGTCAGTAAAGCAAGGTGGAAGGAAGCTCGACCAATCGCACTTCGTCTTCGATGGTTTGAGGTGGAAGGAAGGGAGGGGGAAGGAAGTGGCGTCTTGTCCATTATTATTTATTATTTCACACTTCAGAGGCTATCATCCTTTCCATGTGGACAGCAGAACTGGTGGTGGCTTTGCTGCAAGGAAGAATCTAGGACACGCGGCGTTCATTGGTCCGAGCTGCTCGCACAGACATTAAGGCATTTCCACTCTTTTGTTAGTCGCTAGGTAAGCGTACGACTAGGATTGCTGGCCTGCATTTCCATTCTGAATGGTGGGGATTTAATGACACTTCAGCTGAATGAACGTGTCTCTGGCTTCATTGTGTGTCCAGTGCGTGTGTAGACAAGGTGTCCTTCATCTTCTGCTTCTTTTCGGACAATGCGTAGATGAAATTATAAATCGCTGGCGACACTTTTAAAAAAGGCTTTTCTTTTATAGAAGGCCTAGGTTTCCATTCGTTGGTTGTCTACATGCTGTGAGTTTTTTATTTTAATATTTATTTCGATTTTGTATAATGTAAGTATATGTATAAAGTGAAGATTTTGGAGCGACCGAAGCTGATGAAAGACTCTCGGGCTACAAGCCGCGTCAGGTGGCTGAATGGCGAATGAGCTGCCCTGAGGATGACAGCAGAGATGGCTCTCGAAACGTTGGTAGAAGAAATGGTTAATTCACCATTAAGCCACCTGACGCGGCTTGTAGCCCGAGAGTCTTTCATCAATGTAAGTTTTTTTTGTGTTTAACAGCGGAGGTGATTAACTTTTTCTTTTCTCCGTTGTCATTTTATTGAGACGATGATTTATGTTCGTGTTAAACACATGATTGTCAGTTTTTTGTTTAGATAAACACCAACTTAAATACGTTTAGGTAAATGACTGGACAAAATTAAATACTTAATGCTGTTTTTTGTGTATGAGCAAAAAGTACGGTAACGAGATATAGCTTCTTAAAGCAATTAAAATACCAACGAGGCTGAAATTATATTCAGTTTCCCTTATGCCTCGGCCAACATTACATTTCACGTTAAAATAAACTGAGTAGATACTCGATTATGACACACGATCCGCTTACGCAGTTAGTGACAATTATTTTATAAATCTCTGACCAACTCCTTAGCGATGACAGTGATCACGAAGTTCATCCAGAATAATTTTTAAAGATTCGGCCCGCACCGCGAAGAAAACACGACTCGTCACCATTACGAAGATCAGCTGGTTAACGCTGTTTAAGCTTAGAATCATACGAATCCGATAAACTCTGCGGGCAATTTGCACAGTCACTGATTGCTAAAACGGATGGTAGACTTCCCTCTGTGGACTCAGTAAGTCTTCAGTTGTCTTGTTACATAAATCCAGAATTTCAGACAGTAGCTTTGATGTCCGCCCAGCTCCTTGTCGTGTGTGATTTTATCACATCTTTAGAAGCAGCTTTTCGGAGTCGTGTTGAACGAACCATCGTGTTTCACAGCAAGGAGCCTCGAGATCTCAGGCTACGAAACCTTCGTACTGAAAGAGTAACTAAGCTATCTAGGGTACTCAACTAAGTCTTATTTTCTGACTGCGTGGAGCAGAGTTATTCGTGACAAGCTGACAGTCATTCAGCTGGTCAAGAAATTCCTCGACTTCTGCAAACCGAAAGTTCGTTACAGTGAGGTGAATCCAGTCCACACTCTCACAACTGATTTCTGTAATAGTCATTTTAATATTACCCTCTATTCTACGCCACGGTCTACTAAGTTTCGTCTTCCGGTGCTTGTTGCAAGTCCAGCTCATCTTTTTTTTTGTACTGATATTGAAACTGGAGCCACGAAATTGTTTAAATTAATTTAATATGTCGACGCGAAATTATGTGTTCGTAATAAATGTTATGTTGATGGAATCCAATTGTTTTCAGGAGCTGAAGCAGCGATCATGTCTGCGTTGCTAAATTCCACCCAGTCCATTTTACACGATGCGTACAACTATTACCTCTGGACACTCTCATTAGCAGGTACTGTACAAGAGCAGGCTGTTCAGTTAAAAGCACACAGTTGTTATAAAAAGGCTTTGGCCTAGAAAGAGCGTAGAGGCTGCCATTAGGTTTAGCTGTGAGCGGTCGTCTGGGTTGCGGCCTAATCTTTTAGGTGGTTTCCAATGTTTTGGAGAAACGTACTGCCTCCCTGAAGACAGAGGTGATATGTTTCCCCGAAACGTTAACTGCCTACAGAACTACGCGGCGTCACAACCCAGAAGACCGCGGTGAGAACCTCAAATGTAATAGCTGTTCGTGAAAGTAAGAACGGACAGAGCGTGCTGCTCTGTTGGTGTAAGATCTCGTCATGATGCAGATCATCGGACGCGCGGATGGCCTCTAGTCGACTCGCCCCTGCCCACGATGCTGTACACTGTCCTGTACCTGGCGATCGTGTGGGCCGGACCCAGACTCATGAAGGACCGGGAGCCCTTCAGACTGACCTGGGCCCTTATACCCTACAACCTAGCCATGGCGGCGCTCAACTTCTACATAGCCAGCGAGGTAAGTGGTGTATGGGTGCAAAACTCGGTCTCTCGTTCTGCGAGATGGCTTTAACAGGAGGGTGATTAATGAAGAGCTTCATAATTTGCGCTGTTCACTGAATATTATCTAGGTGATCAAACCGATGAACACAAAGTGGGCAGGTCGTACAGCATGCATTAGGGAATAAGTGGCATTTGACTTCATAGAAAATGATACATTTTATAAGTTTCATTATACTCGTCCCCTTGAGAACCTGAAATCTCACTGGTAACACTGATTTACGTTTGTTTCTTGACAGTTGCTCAGCGCTTCTACAAAGCTCAAGTACAGCTACGTGTGTCAGCCCATCGCACGCCTCTCACATCCAGAAGAACTTCGGGTAAGAATCGAAGTGGCGACTGCAGACAGACAGCCGGCCTTTCGCTTAAAAGTTTTTGCGAGTACAGGGCGACTCGAAACACCCTGTGCGCACACACGACTTAAGTGTTATCATCGCAGCATGCAGGAGCGTAGTTAAATAATTTAAATGCGTGGAAGAAACCCGCTCTTTTGAACTATAAAACATGTCACAATATTTTGCAAAGCGCTGAATTATGTCACGAACATGAGCGTAGTAAACCACAGTTCGAAAATGACCTTACCTTTTGGTGGGAAAAACTGAGTAATTTTTCTTGGATGTATTATTTGTTTATGTCGAGTTTCTGGACAGATACCAGCCCGAAATATGTAAGTAATTATTTTCCAGTAAAGACAGATGTAGGCCCTGTTCATATAACACAAACTTTTTTTAAAAATTTATGTAAATGTTCAAATTAATGCCTTCTTAATACAGAAATACGTGTTTCAAAAAATGCCTAGGAATTGTGAATTCGGCTTAATATGACAAAATGAGTTTGTGATGCTGATTTATCTCAGCCGTCGTTCAGTGCGTGGCTCACACTGTGTCTCGCGGTCCACAGATAGCGAACGCCGTCTGGTGGTACTACGTCTCCAAGCTGATAGAATTCTGCGACACTTTCTTTTTCATCCTGCGGAAGAAGGAAAACCAGCTGACCTTCCTCCACGTATACCACCATTCAACGATGTTCTCGCTCTGGTGGATTGGAATCAAATGGGTGCCTAGTGGATCCAGTAAGTAGGGGGGAAAGCCGCGTCTGACTTTCCCAGTCTAATCACGGAGGCAAATTATCAAATTATACTCATTAAAAAAATCAATAAATAGCGAATTATACGGTGCCCTCAGCACGACTAATAGTCACCTAAGTAATTATGCTTTAATCTGGTAAAAGAAAAGTTCCTCTGATTAGTGCCTCTGAATGTGCTTAAGTGAACACAATTTATATCGCGTTGTTCCTCTGTCGAACAGCGTTCCTCCCGGCAATGGCAAACAGCTTCATACACGTGCTCATGTACACTTACTACGGCCTGTCTGCTCTCGGCCCACACATAGCTAGATACCTCTGGTGGAAGAAGTACCTCACTATCTTGCAACTGGTAAGTGTCTGACGATCGCACGTGGGAAATGGAGGTGCTTCGGAAAAACCTTTTTTTTTTTTAAGATCGGTGATTGTTACAGGAAGCACTTGTTTGCAGTCGGCAGACAAGATCGACATATCATCATCTTTTCTTATGCATAATATCAAGGAATAATAATGCACAGTCCTGGTGTTATGTATTTTAACGTATCTTAAAACAAGAAACACTTTTGTTAAAGTACCCTTTTTGTATAAGGTAAAGCAACAATATTGTAGATGCACACCTGTATTTGGCTTTCAGTTTGAAATTTGGACACAGGCCATAAAGATACCTACAAGTGAAATGTTTTTATAAGCCACAAAAAGAAAATAGTGATGCATGAATCTTTGAGGTTATGTCTGACAGATTCTTTATTTAAGTAATTCATTTTTTCCATTAAGAAAATAAACATTACTACCACTAAAACAACACAGCAAATAATAGAAAAGATGCATTTTGGTAACCTTTTTCATAGATTGTATAATATTTTATAATAATAAGGCAGTTTCATTACTAAAACACCCTTAGTTAGTTTCTAATAACTGTTACTGTTATTAAATATTTCATGATTTGTGTTTTATTGCAGATCCAGTTTACAACAGCAATGATAATGGGCATCAATGGAATAAAATCAGGTTGTGATTTCCCTCTGTGGATGCAATACGTCTTAGTTATCTACATGATTTCCTTCATTGTGCTGTTTGGCAACTTCTATGCCAAGGCATACATCGAGAAGGTGTGTGGAGCGAATAGATCATGTGTTAATTATATTAGTTATATGTTAGGTTCTCAGCACAAAATAAATTATGTGCTTATATACTTGGATTAATTGTAACTGTTGATAATTCTGAAATTGATTAATAATAATTAAATGCATGGGATGTTTTATTAGTTGGACTGAGAGAGAGAATAATAGTTATAAATTATGAACTTTTAAGTGCAAAATAATGAGCCCATTATAATTACCAAAAAAGAAACAGTTTGGGCTGCAGAAGGGTACTAACTTTAAGATACTTTACTGTACATACAACTTATTCAGTTTAACGCATCTCTCAACCACTTCAAGAACACTAATGAAACTCCAGAGTACCTTGTCAAAATTAATTATTAATAATGTTATGTTCACCTGTAAACTGCATTAATTTGTGAATAATTTAAAGCTAAGAAGATGACTGCCCTCTGGGATACTGTGGCAACGTCGAGCGGTAGAAATCTCGTAAACATCTACCAGACTAATAGCACAATATCCCAGAAGTCAGTCATCTTCATACTCACAGCTATGAGAACCTGAAATCTCAGCAATTTATAGCTGCTTGAGTTTTTATGTATCTCGTGAAGCTGTCCGGTCCACGGTCGTTTACGAATGGTCCTGTCAGGTTCCAGGTACGAGTAAGGACCCGACGCTGCCCCGATATAATATGCGTGACGCGTTAGGCTTCTCGGTTAATGGTATTTTATTTCCAGGGCAAGAAAGCATTATACGGGGAGGACGCGGTGCTTCATAATGGCTTCAGCAGCTTCTCGAACAGTGTCATGAGCTATTCCCAAACAGACAGTAGAAAGCATCAGTGAGAACCAGGAGAAACACTGGCGGAGACAGACGCAGAACAAATTACGTAGAGAATGGGAAATCTTTTATGGAGCTTAAAGCAGAGAAGAAAAGTACCATTTAATAACATGCAATAAAAATAATAACAATTTGAATAATTTTATACGCTGTGATTTACGTAAATATGTGCACAACAAAGTTGTTTTATTGTTGTACGGTTATTAACAACGCATTAGCTACTTTCTGTTACTTCTTACAGTAGCTGAAGTATTTTTTTACATTTTCATTTGGTAAACATAACAATAACTGGGTACAATCAAAATATTGCGAGAGGTTTTCCGGCGACTGTGTCTGCGGCTTGCTCGCGGACGAAACCCTCCGCACAGCGTCTGCTGGCCTCGCACAAATATGTAGCAAAGGCACTGAGGTAATTTTTCTAAACTAATTGTTTTATTATTGTATAAAAATATTAGATTATTTTTTTTGAACAAAGCTGTAAATTGTAGTGAACATCCATTTGTGCCATACAATGAAGGTTGATCAAAAAATCAAGATATCATGGAACTGTAAAAAACAATAATTAATGACGTGTATGTACATAGTTTTTAAGTACGAGTGCAATTCAAATTGCAGTCTACTGAGTGGTGAAAATTGTTTGCTCCTGCAAATGCTCAAATATATGTTTCAGTTATAGTTCTGAAAGAGTTGTTATTCCAGAACCTTTGTTATCTTACAGAGAAAACTCTGCTGCTGAGTTAAATTCTACTCGATTATGTTGGTCACACTGAAGGTAAAATTTGTATGCTGTGTGTGGCAGCAAGACATTTTCATCATTTATTTGCTGAGAAGTGACTGCTCAAAACAACCTGGATCAGTGATAATAATAAAACATGTCAAGTTGCTAGAGGGGATTATTATTTTCTTTTACAGTTTCCTAATAGGACAAAGGCTTAAGTGCATTTGTCTTCATCCATTTTCTGTAAAATGTGAATAAATTTTAACCAGGGGACTTAAAATAAACTCTATAGCTGACAGAACCAAGACAGAGGCAAGGTAAGTGTAGAACCAATTAAACATAATTCAGAAATATTTATTAAAAAGTGTGTTGAAATCTCTTAATATTTTTAAAACAATTACGAAGTGCCATTGAGGTTATTTTCTGGTAAAATGATTGTAAGAAATTCTGAGAAATTAAAAATATGTCCAAACTTTTTTGTTAGAAGATGTCTTCTTGCTTAAAAATATCTATTTGTGGACCAAAAGATGATATGAAGTACACTAGCAGTGTGTTATGAAATATGACCCCAGGTTATACATTATAATTGAAGGAACTTCTTTTCTTTAAAGCGTAGTAATACTGACCGAACCATGAACATGTTTTAAAGCTGTGTATGTAACGTGAGTCTTTTAAATTTTGTGCTAAAGAATGTATTTCAAAACTGTTGAACTTCCACTTGACTCAAATTTTGTCATAACAATTGAAGAAAGGGTAACAAGTCTCTGCAAACCTTTGTTCTGTGTTCCAATCCCTGAATGACAGATGACTCACTAGCAGCTGTACGTAGGAATGAAAGCATTTGTGTGACTTGTAATACAAATATGGTGACAATTTTTTTAGGTTAGGTGTTTCATAGAACTTGCATGTATGTGCTGTAAAACATTTTATGGGAAGTCTTTTGTGCATCAGAATGCTATCGAGTACTTTTCTGAGCACCAAGAAAAATGAAGCAAAGTACTACGAGGCTCAGTTTGTTATTGATTTACCTTAAATATGTACAGTAAAAAGTAAAATTCATGCTTTTAGAGTGCATCCTTCCACCTATTAAAACTATCCCATGAAGAGCAAATGTTATTAAATTCCTATAAAAATATACGAAAACATGTAGAATGTCAAGTTCATCAGTCTACCGTATTATATATAAATCAGTCAGAATAAATTTTGATGACGGTGATTATGATTCTGAGTCAAGCTACCATATTTTGTTTCACCAGTAGCCTTACTAACTCCATAAAGCAGGATCCTTCTTGTAGCATGCATGGGAGACACGAGAAATGTGTGCAAAACTTTGGCTGGAAAGCCTGATAGGACACAACCACTTTGAAATCATATGCATGTGAGAGAATAATATTAAAATGGATCTACGAGAAATGGGGTTGGAGGCGTGGCTCAGGATAAGGACCAGTAACTGGCTATGAACTGTGGTTCCATCGAAAACGGGGAATTTCTTGGCCATCTGAGCGATTAACAAACTTCGTCAGAAATCAAAATAAATGCCGAACGAAAAATAATCTTTCATTTTATCGACACTTTCTTTTTTACACAAACGATCCGTGTATATAACAAGATAGTGAAATTTCAGAACCTCGCGGCGGCTTGTAACTTAACTTTCTAATGACAAAAACTGTAAACACATCTTAAACATCGGAAATTTTCTATCAGACAGCATCCAGAAGCATCTTAATTCATTACTTATCCGCTAGGTACTGCAGAGAACGAATGTAATCTTCGTTTAATTGCCCAGTCCTGCTAGCAGATGGCAGGAGACTACACTCCCGCACCCGGCTTGGTCGTTACCAACTTATACGCGTTTAAAAAATGAAAGGAAAGGCATTACTTTTGTCACTCAGTCCCTGTGTCGAAACCTAACTGGGCTGACAACGACCATTCAGTATTGCAGATGTTTTAATTCATTCAATTTTAAGGGCAGGTTAAGTGCCTTGAATTCTTTGAAGGGTTTGTTTAGTTAGTTTAACGCCTGCTCATTCTTTACCTCGGTACTGGATTTTTGGCATGTGTAGAAGAGCTTCGTGCTTGAAAGAGTTAAAATATGGCACTGCCTCTACTCGTTCCTGTGAGCTGCTTATAGGTTCAGGAACGTTCCTGAAATCTGTCGCCCAGAGAATGGCTTTCAGCCACGGCATTTCCTTCAGGTGCGTCTTCTCACAAGATATGAGGGCCATTCAACTACTTCATAACGTTTGCAGTTGCCATGATTCTGGGGCGACCTGGAATTTCAGAAACATAAGTTTACTTGTCTCACGCTACAGGCCCCTGGTTCGAATCCAGGCTATGTCGACAAGCAATAACATTTGTCGTGCTTTTTAGTCGGTAACGCCCGAATGCCTCCACATAAATCCACTTTCCTCATTCATGGTCTTCGCAGAATAAAGGCGCAAGATAACTCACGTGTGAGATAAAGCTTCATAAAATAACAGCCAAGTGAAACTGTTGAGTTATTTTGAATCAAATTAGGGCGACGTGTCTGTGTAATGCAGCTGTTGAAAAGCCTTGTCAGGCGGAAATACAGGCATTAAAGACGTTTTCGAAGCAACTCAACCATTGAGCTGCAAGTATAATGGCGTCTGTTGTTGG